CTGATCCCATATTTTTCTAACTTGTCCATTAATAATTCATGATTGATTGTGTCAAATGCTTTTTTTAGGTCAATAAATATTCCCACTGTGTATTTCTTCTCATCCATAGCACTTGTAATGTCCTCCATCAGGTCGGTAATGGCCAAAGATGTCGATCGGTTCGACCTAAAACCATATTGGCAATCAGAGAGGATTTTATGTTTGTCAATAAATGTATCTAATCTGTTATTAAAGAATTTTTCCAGAATTTTTGAAAATTGTGACAATATTGTAAACTGTATTTCTCTGAGTGTTGACTGTTGGTTGAAAAACAAAACATCTTGTGCAAATTATTACAGACATTTCCCACAATTTTTTAACAAATTAATGACAAAAAATAGCATATTATTTATTAATGATAACAGTTGTAGCTCAAGATACTGTTCAGGTTTTGATGTTGTTACATACTGCATTGCTATATTGTGTGACTGTTGGTTAGACAAACACACAAGCAGGCTTTTCTTTTGGGGTAAAGTCATTGTGGCATTGAGTAGACATACATAAATAAAGTTGAAATAAGCAGGCTGAAAGCAAAGATCCTTTTACAACTAAATAAAAGTGCATTTTCATTCATCATTAGTTACTCAAACAGTCTCAACCAGATAACTCATTATCAAGCAAACACAGCAAAACCTTGGCAGGTTTTGGTCTCTGAAATGTGAGGATTTTTATATTATTACAATTAATTAATCAAAAATAATGAAAAGTCATCTGCCTTCTGATGTTAATGTGTCAAAATCTGAAACCAAATTTAAGTCTAACATGTTTCCCCAAAGTAAAATACAGTTAACATTTTGCCAAATGTGCTTTTGTTACTGTTCTCTCACCATTTCTTAGGAACACATTATAACACTATACAAACAGGTCAGTGAGCATGCAGGTTTATTTAGAGATATACCAAGAATAATCTGCATGTGTGTGTGAGCAACAACAGCTGCAACTTTAGTCCCTTCTCTTCTGGCTCTATTTCCATAAGGATCCCAGCAGTGCACACTGACTGACCACCACCAACCCCTCCTCCTCATTCCCCTTCCTGCTCCTGTCTGGTCCCAGATAGTCAGCTGTCGCTCCTACACAACACCACTCCCCGCCTAAATCTGGGGCATGCAAAGCCTGAGAGCAGCACAGTTGTACAACTTCAAATCAGCCTGCAGAGCTTAGACACATAGCCGGACTGGAACACAAACGACAAGTCATGTTACATTTTAGCAGGCAACATAATTATGGGGCTAAAGTGATGATCATATAAAAGGGATCATTTTATGATTGGGGGGAGGTGCAAGGATGCCTACAGTATGCAGTCTATGAACATGCATTTGTGTGTGTGCATGTTTGTTCCTGTGACCCCTCTGGATCCTACTGCAGGCCAATTTCCTGCTAAGCACTCATCTCTCAATAAGCCCTCGGCCGCGCACAGCTCTACCTTGGCTGTCAGGAATGTGCTCATGTTTCACTTTTATAATTGACAGCAACTAAAAGTCCAGAATCGTCACTCAGTGCAGCTCTCTGCAATAAGTTCCAGCAAGAAACATGATACATGCATGCTCACACATGCTAAAGCCAGCAAAACCATGGGTCATTTCTGGTAGCACAAAAACACCCCCACTTTTGGAAATGAAAGAGTACATCTTTAAGCCATGAAGCAGAGCCAGATTTGGCAGCAAGTGTTAAATCTAGGGCAAATTATTTGGGATTTAACATCTGGTTGTTTTGTGGTGCGATGTTTAACATAGAAGACAAGTCTCAAATTTGTTTTGCTAATGCATGCAAAGCAGGGCAAATTATTTGGGATTTAACATCTGATTGTTTTGTGGTGCGATGTTTAACGTAGAAGACAAGTCTCACATTTGTTTTGCTAATGCATGCAAAGCGGAACTTCACAGACACCAGTGATGCTGCATTAAACATTATTAACTCAGGCATGTGATGAACTCTTCAAAAAAGTTTCAGTGCTCACTATACTGTATCCCACGAGTTTATAAACAAAAGGATTATTACTTTGCATTTTAAATATGTTCTGTGTTTACACTTGTAAAATTCAGGTATTAAAATACAAGATGAATTTTAGTTATGTGGTATAGTATATCAATATCTGTTTGTAGAGATATCATTAAGTAAGTTAATGGAACATATTACTGCAAAAATGCCAACTATGTTCAAAATAGGAGCTGTGTAATAGAGACTAATAGAGTGATTATTGATTTGCAGCAGTACATGCTGCACTGGACATGTTTACAAATTTACAATAAGTTTATTGTATTCAACCAAAATCTATCAATAATAGGGCTGCAGACCAATGGTGTTAGTAAAACTGTTTTTCTGGGATCCGTACAAATTCATGCTAAATAAATATTCAAAAATGTTATAATTTCAGAGTAAATCTTAGCGTTTTTAACTGTTGGTTGAACAAAAGCTATTTCAATCCATCACCTTGAACTGTGGTAAACTATTAATTTCTGCATTATTTCCTGGACATATTTCAATGAATCATGAAATTAATATAGCCGTAGTCTATTCATGGCATGTTTCTGATAGTTTCCAAGATGATGAAATTCTGGCACGCTTCCCGTCATGTTTGTGGCTGTTTCTGTGAAAATGAAAAGTCCTTAAATCTTGG